TTGTGAATAATTTCGAATAATGATGGCAAAACTCTTATAAAAACAACCGTCAATCGACCTTTTCCGTTATTGTTCCATAATAACGCAAGAGCTTACACTGGTTTACTGCGTATTAATTTCGTAAGAGTTGCAGTTATAAACCGTACGTTATCCCCAGTACTCGCCAGACCTAGCACCAGCGGTTCACTATTTTCTTCACAATTTTGACAATATCCTGCAAGGAAACTGAGCTTATTCTTTGAAAGTCATATAATATGCTTTCATAGACTTATATAGTAATATAGTTCAGATCCTCGGAAATCCATCACAAGGACATAAATAATTTTTACTCTAGACGTAGATATGATAGAAACAAATAATAAATAATGAGTGTAACCACTTAGTGAATGATATGTATAAATTTATTCTTTGTGTTAGAAAAAGTTTTTAAATATATCTATGTAAAACTGCAATTTCATACTTTAATGAACCCTTAATTTTAATTCTCTGCTTTGTCAAATGAGTACGTTTTAGCAGTCCTTTACTGTAACTACAGTACATATCAAAGGCATTAATCATTTTTAAATAAATACTGTGATATAAATGAAACACAATTAAATCGTCATTTACAAACGTTGTTAATCAATACATTTTTTGATTAGTCTGCAAGTTTTCCTCAGGTTGTGGAAATAATCGAGCTTCTATTACCTTAACGCTCAATTAACCAATTATTTTCTATAATATCTCCACTTTATTAAAGGCGCTGATTGAAAATGTTTTCACAAAAATATCAGAATTAGCTTTTTCTACCTTGTTTTGCATTATTACCAACAAATTCTTTAGAAGCATATTATAAACTAATACACAATCTCATTTTTCTCATTTTTTAAATCCCTCTATCTTAATTATTACTAAATTATAATCGTCTTCGGGCAATATGCTATAGCTATGTAAGTTATGGTGATGCAAAGGTTGCTTTCACAGCGTAACAGATACAGCAAATAAAACAAGGGAGGCCTATGTTCAGCAGTAGACTTTTATAGCCTGTAATAGATAGATGGGATGCAAGTCATTATTATTATAACCAGAGTATCTGGGAAAATACCTTTTTACAATTATTAATGTTGAACATAGGTCTACCATAAAAGAAATTTGCCGTTATCGCCTAACAAAATCTTTTGAATGTGCTTGGCAGGCAGAATGACGCAATATCAAATACCGAAGATACGTAATGCCGGTTTGAGTGATATTAACATCTGAATTGAATGTTTTTATCGCCATGTAATGGAAGCCACAGCCACATAAATGCACAATTAATTAATCGATGTCATTATGTTTTGCCAAAACTGCCACGTTCGGCGGGCTGGTAAGCAACTGGCTGGTGTTATTAATATGAAGTTTCCGCCTAACCTCATCATCATCATCATCATTACAGCCCTTCACAAGTCCACTGCTGAACATAAACCTCCCCCAATAATGCCACAAAGCACAGTCCTGAGCCACCTGCATCCATCGACTTCCTGCATATCTTACCAGGTCGTCACTCCATCTAGTGGGGGGTCGCCCTACACTACGCCTACCGGTACGAGGCTGCCACTCGAGAACCTTTCTTCCCCATCGGTTATCGGTTCTTCGAGCTATATGGCCGGCCCATTGCCACTTCAGCTTACTAATCCGTTGGGCTATGTCGGTAACTCTGGTTTTACTGCGGATATCCTCATTTCTGAGTCTATCACGCAGAGAAACTCCGAGCATAGCCCTCTCCATAGCTCGCTGAGCGACCTTGAGCGTCCTCATACGGCCAGCAGTGAGGGATCACGTCTCAGATCCGTAAGTCATCACTGGCAACACGCACTGGTTGTACAATCTCGTTTTTAGAGATTGAGGTATACCTGACGAGAAGATATGTCGTAATTTCCCGAACGCTGCCCAGCCGAGTTGAATCCGTCGATTGACCTCTCGGTCGAAGTTGGACTTACCTAGTCGGACTATTTGTCCCAGGTAAGCGTACTCGTCAACAACTACGAGCATAGTGCTCCCAACAAATACCGGCATAGGTGTGACGTGGACATTAAACACAAAACAAAGAGTTTTGTCCATGTTCATCTTAAGACCTATCCGTTGGGAGGTACTATTGAGGTCATTGAGCATAATGCTTAAGTCCTCTAGATTCTGCCATAAGGACTATATCGTCGGCAAATCGAAGGTGAGTGATGTACTCGCCATTGATGTTATCGTATCCTTTCCAGTCCAGTAGCTTGAAAACGTCTTCCAATGCAGCGGTGAAGAGTTTCGGGGATATAACGTCACCCTGTCTTACACCTCTCTGCAGTTGGATAGGTTTCGAGCTCTGGTTCTGTACTCGGAAAGCCATCGTAGCCCAACTGTACAAACACTTAAGCACTTCGATATACCGACAGTCAACTTGGCATCGCTGAAGGGACTGTAGCACCACCCAAATTTCGACGGAATCAAAGGCTTTCTCATAGTCCACATACGCCAGGCAAAGTGGCAGATTGTACTCTTCAGTATTCTGTACAATCTGACGCAGGGTATGTATGTGGTCTATTGTACTAAAGCCTTTTCGGAAACCGGCTTGTTCGGGAGGCTGGAAGTGGTCAAGTCTGCGTGCGAGACGATTCGTAATGACTCTCGAAAACAGTACGTAGACGCGGCTCAGAAGGGAAATCGGTCTGTAGTTCTTCAAGAGAGCGTTGTCGCCTTTCTTAAAGAACAACACCACCGCACTTCTGCTCCACACCTCTGGAGTAGTGCCACCATGGAGGACGGAACTGAAGAGCTTCTGAAGGACTTCAAGTACCTGTGTTTCACCAACTTTCAGAAGCTCCGCTGTAATTCCATCCTCGACTGTGGCCCTGCCGTTTTTAAGGTGGTGGAGAGCCATTCTAATCTCGCTTAGAATGACGTCCTGGATATCATCGGAATAGTGTCGGATAAGACTTGCTCTTGGATCGTTACTCACACTTGCGTGTGGCTCCAACGATGATGTGTACAGCTGCCCATAGAACATCTCAATCTCACTCAAAATCTCAGGTGTCCCGGAAACGATGCTGCCACACTCAGTCCTCAGCTTTGACAGTTGGCTCTTACTGGCAGACAGATCTCTGGAAAGACTTTGGAGCCCTGGTTCCGCTCGATTGCTTCTTTAATACGAGCAGTATTAAAGTTGCGTAAGTCTCGCCGCATGCATTTGGAGATCTGTCTGTTCAGTTGCCTGTATGCTGTCAAATCTGTTGACGATTGCAGCCTCATCTCCCGTCTAACAGCCTTGAGATTAAGAGTGTGATCGGAGAGTTTTTGTGTTCTTCTGCGGCGGGTCTTGCAGAAGTTAGCTCCGACCGCATGGAGAGTTTCCACGAGCTTGTCATTCATATCGTCCACTGCATTGCAATCTTCTAGGCACTGAAAGCGGTTACGTAATTCGAGCTGAAAGTTTTCGGGAATCTGGATTAGAGCACGAGGGGGGACGGAGCGTTGACTTCATTAGACGAGACCTCTCCAACTTAACGTTTAGGTTCAGTGTGCCTCTAACCATTCGGTGATCGCTGCCTGTTTTTACCCTTGTGATCACTGAGACATCACTGAACAGTTAGCGTCTGGTCGTCACAATTAAGTCAATCTCATTTTTTGTCGAACCGTCGAGGCTCGACCAGGTCCATTTCCTGTAAGGCCGCTTCTGGAAGAAAGAGTTCATCATAAAGAGTCCTTCTTTCTCCATAAAGTCGGCCAGCTGCTGGCCCCTTCGGTTCCGTTGCCCTACTCCAAATTTCCCTAACTTCAGTTCACCGTTTTCTCGTGTGCCTAGTTTTGCGTTGAAGTCTCCCATCAACACCGTGTAGTGGGCCTAACCTATATATATATGTCGGAGCAAGTACATCATCGGTTGACAAAGCATAAGCCTAGCATTGTCTTTTAATTGATTATAATAATCAAGGGTTTATAATTATTAATACTACAATTTAATAAGAGCAATTTATCAGAAACATAACATGTAACTAGCTAGTTCTTTAAAACTCTTTTGGTTTACAAATCTCTTTATTGACCACTAATTCCTGGTAAAACAACTATTTATTCCATTATCAACTTTTAACTCAAATATGGTTTTAAATCGTAGAATAAATAATTGTCGATTTGATTAATAATCCTGATAAATGAAATTGCTTAAGTAACCTAATGAATTCAATAAAAAGTTATTGTTTAGTCAAGTATCGACCAATCAAATCGTCGACCAATCAGAGCACACCTAAGTCGTTATTACCTTTTCCTTATTGAATGAACGCGGCAACAGAATCACTTCAGTTCCAGCGCTCGTCAGTGTAGTTCTATTTTCCTGGTAAAACTTTGCAAGTATTATTTGTGAGTCTCATAATAGGAAGACTAGAATAAAGTTGTAGTGCAAAATAAAAAGTGCGTGGTCTTAGATCTCTTTCATTACAATCGAAACAATATGCGGTAGATCGACTCAACACTTCTCAAATGCGGACAGTGGTGCTGCCTCACCATAAAAACAACCACTAGGTTTTCCGCTCCAACAATCATATAGTTGTGTCCTTCACATTGCGCCGGTGTGTAATTGTGACGGGGACACACTGCAGTATGGTCAAACTGTAATTACTGTACGCTGAATGTATAGAGCGTTACGCTGTCCTATTATTGACAACAATAAATTGCGCAAGCGAGAGAGCAAGTTGAACATCAGCTCTCACATTTTTACCATTTTTAATAATTAACACTATCCTGTTATTTCCCACACAATTTTGGTTTATCGTGTTACACACTATTTCCGACATATATATATATATATATATATATATATATATATATATATATATATATATATATATATATATATATATAAATTGAAATGTTGTATGAGAACTAAGTATAGAAACTGGCTAGTGTTCATTTACATGCATTCACGATTATGCTAATGGGTTTATATAGAGTTTAATTTTTTAATAAATATCTAAAATTACGCGCAATCATAAAAAAACACTTACCGACAACAGAGAGATGAACACGACGCACCAGTGGCGGATGTGCGGAGATTTGGCACTCATAAAATCCCTCGTCTCGCTCGCTGACGTACTGAATGAGGAGACGCCAATCATTGGGGTGTTCAAAAAGCAAGTGAGTATCTTGAGTCAGCTGAGTACGTGTGGCGGCCAAAGGAAAGAAGGTGAATTTCTTCTCCACGACGACGTACCCAGGATATCTAGGAAGATAAAAATTGAGAATACAATATTATAATATACTTTTGAATAATATGGATAAGAATTCGCATCGCGATTAAATTGATAAAATTGCTTCCTTCTCTTATTTTGTTTATTTTCCGTTGCCAGTATTTATTTAAATGCCATATAAGGTATTCGTAGCGACAGAGTAACTAGCATAAGACAAAGGATTAGTAAGATGAAGAGGCAATAGTCCAGTGTAGTTAATACAAGATGGTTGTAATAATAAGTTACCTAGTATTTATTTTACGTAGTCCCTTACGCCATATTGTGACATCGTAGAAAACTCTTAATATCATTCCGTACATATCGTAAGCGGCGACGGGGGGAGACTCAAAATATGACCACAAAAAGCGGAAACAATAAAAATTACCCCCTCCTTCAACGTAGTCTTTTCGGGGAGCCTTATGTTCAGCATTGATCTTCAATAGGCTGTAATGATGATGATTATAATTCTATAATGCTTATAACACAAGATGAGATAGAGAAGAATTAAGTTAAAATTTTAAAAGAGCGTACTGAAATACTTAATATTTTTAATAACATTTTTACAACGTCATTGTTTTCTCTTTGATTTTGTCACTTCTTTCTTCTGCAAATGATGCCTTTGTAATAATATTAATTATTTATCGACGAAATTTAAAACCTAAAATATCTATGTTTTGCAGCGGAGTTTAACGGGCTAATAAAAAGAAGAAAAAAATTAAGTTATAAAATTATAATGTACTTACAGTTTTATCTCCCAAATCATGAACACGACAATGTAGGTGTACCCTGCTCCCAAGCTGTGCAGTCACATTGTTAGTTATAGGATCATCTTCGAAGAACGGAAGGGGCTCTGAAGTAGTAGTGAAAACTTCTTCTTCAGGATCTTCGTATACTTCCGTGAATACTTCATGCCAGAAGGGACCAGTTATTATCTTCTTGTCACTGGTTTTGAAGTCTGAATAAATAGGTAAATTAATAGTAAAGAGCAATTTCATTTCAGAAAGGATCTTAATTTAGGACACGCCGAAATGACATTGATTTAGGACGTCAGCGCTATTAAAATATTAAATTTTAATTTAGGCACTGATTAAAAATGAATTATTTACTCAGAATGATGGATAATTTACTGAGAATATGATGTTATGTTAGTCATATTATAGACATACAAACAATAAGGATGACTAACGACCTCACGGTTGGTATCCGTGATTATAAGGTGATGCTGTGGTCCATAGTAATTCACATGTATCCAAGATTAAAAATCATATTGGTATTCATCATTCGTATCTCCATCAAGTAGGGATGCGCCCTACATTTTGCTTACGGATACGGATAGAATAATTATGGGTATATCAAATATAGAGTGATTGGAACACCGCGCTACTTATGAGCGAGTTGGCAGACCACTAATATAATCGAAAGATTTTAAAAATAAACTGCTGTAGAAACTAACGGTCCATGGGTTGAACGTAAAGGAAGTTCCTGAAGGAATTTTATTCGCGACTAATCCTCGCTGCTGGTGACAAGAGGCTGGTTCTTTTCTCGCTCAAAGCTTTAGTTTATATAGTCAGTCAGCGAAGAAATGTTGCCAGCGTTCTTAGGAAGATTTCCGGAAAGTTTTTAGTATTAGTTTTTTTTATTATAAGTTTTTCAATATCTTCTATATAAATCAATTGCTGCCCATTAGATTCGCAAAAGCTCGAAAATAGCTCGACCGATTTTGATGATTTTTTTTGTGTATTTGAGTGGGCCGCTGGATGGTTTAAAAACTCAGTTGAACCGGAAGGTGTTGCTAATGTCGAGATTCAGAAATAAACCGTAAGAAAACCGAGGTGCATCGTTAGCCTCTTATACAAAAATCGATTGATGTCCGTTAGTCTCGCAAAAACTTGAAACTGGCTCGATCGATTTTGACTATTTTTTGTGTATTTGAGTGGATTACTGGATGGTATAAAACTCAGTTAAATTTAGTATAGAGTGTAGCTAGTAGTGATCGCTGAAAGCAACTGGTTACGGTGCTATAGGGCCGTGGGTTCTATTCCCGCGTAAGCAAGTTTTTTATGTGAAAAAACTACTATATGATTAAACATAATCATTACTACTATCATAAACAGGTTTTCGATTAAGTACGCTAGTGAATAAGTATTATTTAAAGCATATGCATATGACGAGAAAATACTAGAGCTGGAAGAAGAGGTAAAAAAGTTGCGCTGGCATATTATTGGATTATCCGAGGTCCGAAGAGAGGGGGAGGACACGGCAATCCTCGAGTCCGGCAACTTGTTCTATCACCGGGAGGGCGACCATCTGTCCCAAGGAGGTGTCGGATTTATCGTCCACAAGTCTCTCGTCAACAACGTTGTAAAGATTGGGAGTGTGTCGACGAGGGTCGCGTACCTGATACTCAGAATCACCAAACGGTATTCGCTGAAGGTCATTCAGGTTTACGCACCAACCTCGGCACATCCCGATGAGGAGGTGGAGGAAATGTATGAGGATATTTCCAGAGCCATACATTCCTCCAAAACCCACTACACGATGTTGATGGGAGACTTCAACGCAAAACTAGGCACAAGAGAAAGCGGTGAGCTGAAGGTAGGGAAATTTGGAGTAGGGCAACGGAACCGAAGGGGCCAGCAGCTGGCCGACTTTATGGAGAAAGAGGGACTCTTTATGATGAACTCTTTCTTCCAGAAGCGGCCCCACAGGAAGTGGACCTGGTCGAGCCCCGACGGTTCGACAAAAAATGAGATTGACTTCATTATGACGACCAGACGCCAACTGTTCAGTGATGTCTCAGTGATCGCAAGGGTGAAAACTGGCAGCGATCACCGAATGGTTAGAGGCACACTGAACCTAAACGTTAAGTTGGAGAGGTCTCGTCTAATGAAGTCAACGCTCCGTCCCCCTCGTGCTCTGATCCAGAATCCCGAAACCTTTCAGCTCGAGTTACGTAACCGCTTCCAGTGCCTAGAAGATTGCAATGTAGTGGACGATATGAACGACAAGCTCGTGGAAACTGTCCATGCGGTCGGAGCTAAGTTCTGCAAGACCCGCCGCAGAAGAACACAAAAACTCTCCGATCACACTCTTAATCTCATGGCTGTTAGACGGGAGATGAGGCTGCAATCGTCAACAGATTTGACAGCATACAGGCAACTGAACAGACAGATCTCCAAATGCATGCGGCGAGACTTACGCAACTTTAATACTTCTCGTATTAAAGAAGCGATCGAGCGGAACCAGGGCTCCAAAGTCTTTGCCAGAGATCTGTCTGCCAGAAAGTGCCAACTGTCAAAGCTGAAGACTGAGTGTAGCAACATCGTTTCCGGGAGACCTGAGATTCTGAGTGAGATTGAGAGGTTCTATGGGCAGCTGTACACATCATCGTTGGAGCCACACGCAAGTGTGAGTAACGATCCAAGAGCAAGTCTTATCCGACACTATTCCGATGATATCCCGGACGTCAGTCTGAGCGAGATTAGAATGGCTCTCCACCACCTTAAAAACGGCAAGGCCCCGGGCGAGGATGGAATTACAGCGGAGCTTCTGAAAGCGGGTGGAAAACCGGTACTTGAAGTCCTTCGGAAGCTCTTCAATTCCGTCCTCCATGGTGGCACTACTCCGGAGGCGTGGAGCAGAAGCGCGGTGGTTTTGTTCTTTAAGAAAGGCGACAACGCTCTCTTGAAGAACTACAGACCGATTTCCCTTCTGAGCCGCGTCTACATGCTATTTTCGAGAGTCATTACGAATCGTCTCGCACGCAGACTCGACGACTTCCAGCCTCCCGAACAAGCCGGTTTCCGAAAAGGCTTCAGTACCATAGACCACATACATACCCTGCGGCAGATTGTACAGAAGACCGAAGAGTACAATCTGCCACTTTGCCTGGCATATGTGGACTATGAGAAAGCCTTTGATTCCGTCGAAATTTGGGCGGTGCTACAGTCCCTTCAGCGGTGCCAAGTTGACTGTCGGTACATCGAAGTGCTGAAGTGTTTGTACAGTAGGGCTACGATGGCTATCCGAGTACAGAACAAGAGTTCGAAACCTATCCAACTGCAGAGAGGTGTAAGACAGGGTGATGTTATATCCCCGAAACTCTTCACCGCTGCGTTGGAAGACGTTTTCAAGCTACTGGACTGGAAAGGATACGGTATTAACATCAATGGCGAGTACATCACTCACCTTCGATTTGCCGACGATATAGTCATTATGGCAGAATCGCTGGAGGACTTAAGCATTATGCTCAATGACCTCAATAGTGCCTCCCAACGGATAGGTCTTAAGATGAACATGGACAAAACAAAGATCATGTTTAATGTCCATGTCACACCTATGCCGGTAGTTGTTGGGAGCACTATGCTCGAAGTTGTTGACGAGTACGTTTACCTGGGACAAATAGTCCGACCAGGTAAGTCCAACTTCGACCGAGAGGTCAATCGACGGATTCAACTCGGCTGGGCAGCGTTCGGGAAATTACGACATATCTTTTCGTCAGGTATACCTCAATCTCTAAAAACTAGATTGTACAACCAGTGCGTGTCGCCAGTGATGACTTACGGATCTGAGACGTGGTCCTTCACTGCTGGCCGTATGAGGACGCTTAAGGTCGCTCAGCGAGCTATGGAGAGGGCTATGCTTGGAGTTTCTCTGCGTGATAGACTCAGAAATGAGGATATCCGCAGTAAAACCAGAGTGATCGACATAGCCCAACGGATTAGTAAGCTGAAGTGGCAATGGGCCGGCCATATAGCTCGAAGAACCGATAACCGATGGGGAAGAAAGGTTCTCGAGTGGCAGCCTCGTACCGGTAGGCGTAGTGTAGGGCGACCCCCCATAGATGGAGTGACGACCTGGTAAGACAAGCAGGAAGTCGATGGATGCAGGTGGCTCAGGACCGTGCTTTGTGGCATTACTTGGGGGAGGCCTATGTTCAGCAGTGGACTTGTGAAGGGCTGTAATGATGATGATGATGATGAAAGCATATGCCATACTTAACACGTAGGAGAGGCGGGACAGAAAGTAAGGAGCTAATGCGCTCGCAGTGATAAGCTGCTTCCTTGCGTCTGTGTACGTGAATATGTATAGATTTTCTGTCAACTGTTGGTCACCAGAGCCTTTTTGTGTACGGTGAAACCGACATGAATACCTGATAGCTAGGTTATGTCGATCGCTTACCGGTTAAAATCTTAAAGTGTTCACCTCTTTGCCATTTTGTCAGAAATATGGGGACATTTTTGCATATTACCGCTAACGGTATACTGCTCATGTACATGCAATTTTGTATGACTGCTTAACCCCTGGTATGCCACGGCAGTGGTAAATTAACCAACGCTAGCGAAAATTTGTTAGTAATTTTTAAAAATTAAAATAAATCTATTATATTAATATTCATCGAACAGAATCTCGTCTATATTATACTATCAAACAATGTATATTTTTGGCTATTGGCTACATATGTGCGTTTTAATATTTTATAGACTTTAGGTACTTTTGAATTATCTTGATATAGCTTTGTTGAAACGGCGTATTTATTTTTTACTCTGTTATTTGATAAATAAATCACAGAAAAAATAAAAGACAGTTTCTAATTTCGCAAATCCAATATCTGAAAGCAATAAAGGAATTCTACGTTCCAAAGAAGACAGCTCCTACGACATAACGATGTGTATTGTGACGAGACCGAGCTTCTTTGTTTACATGTTTTTGTGTCTTTTGTTACAACGTGAATTAAATGAATGAAAATCTCCTCAATTATAAGTTTCGTATATTATGTTTATAGTATTTAAAGAGAAATAATTCAATTTCGCTGTATAGTAGCGTCATAACATAATCCATTCGTCCCTATTTCGTTCCGTGGGTGACCCAAGAGGTGACCTTAGAAAATACCAAAATAATCTTACGATATAATGGCTTCCAATAGATGAAGAAATTACCATCTCGTTTATATCGGATCTGTGGTAGCAAGTGCTTGCCGGAAATTCCCTAACTTGATCTCCGCCGGCATCCATGAAATTGTTACTTGTAATTTTATTCGTTAACTATATTCATATTGTATGTATTAGGAAAATTGTCACAAACACGAAAACAATAATATCTACAAAATAGTAATAACGGTTCGCCCCAGTTTTGCATGTGTGATTTCTAGATCTTAACAACAGCGCCATCTACTAGATTAAGCTCCGTGCTTTCTGTCCCGCCTCTCCTACGTGGTAATTATGGCATATGCTTTAAATAATACTTATTTACTAGCGTACTTAATCGAAAACCTGTTGATGATAGTAGTAATGATAATGGTTAATCATACAGTAGTATTTTCACATACAATACTTGTTTCCGCGGGACTCGAAAAAGCGGCCCTGCAGCACCGCAACTAGACGCTTTCAGCTATCGAGCAGTTAAAATGTTTTGAGGTAGTTAGTTATCGTTTTACCGTTTAGTGGCGGTGTAAGAATATTCAGTACCCCATATCATCCCGTGAGTATCGTTAGAGGCGACAGAGGCTTCTTCTTAATAACGACTAAAACTAACGACTACGACTAAAATAATAATAAGAACTTTAATTGAAAACCAGCTCGCCAAGCGTGGCAACTAAAGCATGTATTCCCCATATGAGTGCGGCCTATGTACAGCAGTGAATATTAATAAGTTTTAATGATAAAGGTAAGATTGAATTGCATTTAATATATCCTTCTCAGTATTCTTCAATCGATTAAGGTGTGTACAATGATTTGACTCTCTTCTTCTCCGTTCTTCTTTCTTCTTTCTTCTTTCTCTTCTTGACCGTTCACAATGTTTTCAAAAGGTGAAATATGGTGTATCTCAAGGTGGAGTCCTATCTCCTCCGCTTTTTTTCGTTTTTATTATTCACCAAGGCCATATCCTCTTATTACCACCTCTACACTGATGATTTGCAGTTATATAGTCATTTTGCGGCGTACGAAGCTAACTTGGCGATTGAAGCTATGAGTGACGACTTGAATATGAACAACTAATGGTCGAGATCATTTGGTCTTACGAGAAACCCATCTAAATCTTAAGCTTTGATATTAGGCAAAATGTTTGCTCGTGGTTTACTTGATTTCTCTTCTCCCCAAACCCTACAAACTAATGGCACCACTATTCCTTTTCAGATATTGCCAATAAACTAAACGTTTTTATTGATTGCAATTCTACTTGGGGCGCTTATATTACGGATGTAAGTAGAAAATATTTCACGTTTTACATGCTCTTAAACGCCTTCAAAATTTTCTTTCCTTGTCAACTAAGTCCAAGTTGTATACCTATAGTCCAGACTCTTATCTTGCCAGTTTTAGATTACGCTGATATATACTACTCGAATGCCACAGTGGAGCAAATTAAAAAACTTGAGCATTTGCAAAATTTGTGTAATCGATACATTTTTGGATTAAATAAGTTCATTTATCGCTGGCAGATTAAGTGGTCCCCAATCTGCCTTCGCAGGAACACTAGAACCCTCTGTCTTCTTTGCAATGTTCTATGTTATCCTACTATTCTGCTATATCTAAAATAATAATTTTTTTCACATTCCCATTGTGATCTGTTCCATGTGAGTGTAGATCAAAAACTTGAAGACTGATAAAATTTCAATCTTACGACTTCTGTCATTCACTTCATTATAATTATTAAATAGTAATGTGTTGGTATGAATATAGGTAAAGTAATAATTTATATTTAATCATGGAATAAGCAGTACCTTTGTACATATGCTCTTTTTACCATTTTCATATCAAAATATGTGTGTACATAAACTCATAAATAAATTTATTATTTGAATATTACCTGGCATTACCGGTGCTATCACACATAGCGTTCTCGTTAGGAGGGAGCAGAATATCAGTAAACCAGCCGGCTTCATCTTGTCAGCCTCGGGACTTTGGAGCCATAGAGTTCATCTACTTAGCCGCATTTGTTCCTGCAAATACAAAGATCCTTTTAGACGTAAAATATAATATATTACGTCTATTGCACTACGGGCCATATTTCTCCGAATAATATATTTAATTACCTAAAAGTCTGTTCATGAAGTTGCTATTTTAAGATTATATTAGTTTGTTAAACATTAATATATCTCTTATACGCATGTATTGGCTACCATCTTAAAGGTACGCGCTTGACTGCTTAGTTTTTTTTAGTGGCCTTAGCGTGATTGCCGATAATGATGTCCTTATCTGTTATAGGGTTTTTCAATCAAGAAATTCTCTCTCCCACCCTTGAAATTATGTAAAACTTTTTGCGCTGCGCTTGAATTCTCTATACCTCTGGATTATGATACTGAGGGAATAGATAGTGCACCCGTGCTTACACACACGCAATCAAGCGCTTTAATCTTGTACTGTCCCGATAGCCATTCTCTGTTGAGACTGACCGCCTGAACACAAATCCGGTCTGAGGAACATTATGACTAAAGGTACGCGAAAAACATATAGAATAAAAAAAAACATTATTATTATAAAAGTTAAAAAAATTAAGTATATTTCACATACTGTTCCATTCAAGGCGAGTATCTTTGAGATAGCATCCGGTAGATACCGATAATTTTGAGCTCGTAACTTGAAAAGTTATAGTATTAGTTCAGTAAACTGAACAAAGTCAGAACTTGCCCGTTGAATACTTTCCAGAATATAAAGTAGAAAGGTAACGGAAACGGGAAAGAAACAATTTCAAATCGATTGAATAAAAACTCTATGCTTTTAAAACTAACGGTGTGAGATAGCGGTGGCGGAAAATAACTTTCTCATGTAAAAATATGCGTCTCTTTTTTACCTCAATCTAGGCGACGGAACTTATTTGATATTAGAAAAAAATATAATTTTCTCACGGATGACAGCCATTTCGACAAACTAGGGCAGCCTGCATATTTCCCGCTGTAAAACACAGGTCACCTCCATTTCTAAAATAGTTTTAGAGCAGAGTCCACTTTGCTTTCCCGAAGAGTGTTGACCAACTTCTAAATGTCCCCGAATAATAATAATTTTTTAATTTATGTACTACATTTTGAAAACTACAACGAAATAAATAAACATGAGACACACGCAGACGCACTCGCCCTCCCGTTCCCCAGTAACTCATGCTGTTCACACTCTTGTCGCCACCGAAATACCGACTCTCACTCTCATTAACTTGTGATTTTTTTATAGGATAGGGTGACAAACTAGCACACAGTCCACCTGATGGTAAGTGGTTACTGCGGTCCATAGATATCTACATCTATCCTCAATTACAAATCAAAATGCAAATGCGTTGTCACCCGTGAGGACTAAGATAGAATGCCTCGTTTCCAGTAGAAAGGGTCGCCAGTTCTCTACTTTCACCACACGAAACACAGCAGCATTAAGCTACTATTTTACGCCGGTATTCTGTGAGAGCGTGGTCCTACCCCAGTCAAGCCGACCCATTTTTGCTACAACTATACTACTAATAAAACTACAACATGGCTCTACCACGTATAAAATTGTGATATAAGATGAATAATGATAATGTTGAAGCTAAGGTGACGACCTTAGCTTCATTCATTTAATTTCATAAGATTTATCATATAAAAATACATTGATAATAATGTTGCGTGTAGTGTGCGTTTTGGCTATGTTATCGGTAATTTCATGTTTTACAAAACACTATTTACAAGAAATACCTTGCGTATCAAGCCTCATAATTGCGATTGCCATGCTTGTTTGATATTTCTTAACCCCTCAGTCCCCTTAAAATTCCCATGCAGTCGCATGCGTCCGTCAAATCCCGAGCGCCCACCCACAGCTCTTTAAACCTTTAAAACTTTCATTCAGAGACTACTTTTCTGTGAAAAAATTAGGCGTTATAAAATCTATACAAAATTCTCTATATAAAAGTCAGGTTTTACTTCATTACAAAAAGACTACTATATTTTGATAACAAAAACAAAACATACTAAGCGAATGTCGGCAGCGTGAAAATCACAATTATTTCAATATATATTACTCGAAATTATTTACGTATAAAGATAAATTATATTTACACAAAAACTTTCATTACAATTTTATCATACACTGTACAAAAACACTAATAAAACACTAGAAAAATCCAAAAATCAACACAATAACATTCACGCGAAAATGACGTGCGAAATGAACTTAGATTATAAATAAATATCCATAGTTTAACTATTTTTATCGCACTAGAATTTAGAAAATTTCATTTTAATTCTATAAAACCAAACTTCTTCATAGAACAGTAGTCTCTAAATACAAGTATTAATAGTGTAAAGTGCTATGGGTGTGCGCGGTCGAGTCCAACCGCTTGAATTTGACGTCAACCGACGAATTTTTGACGGAACAGCGCCGCGATAGAATTCGACCGCTTAGAGATTGAAGAGTTAAATTTCATGGCCTGATAAATTGTAGCTTTATTTCTTTCTTAAAAAATCAGGGAAGTAGAAGCTTTGCTTCCATAACCAAATGTGTTTTACGCCGTCTTCCACCTCAAAACATGCTATATTGTTCGTTACTAATAATGTGGTATTTTGAATATAATATCTGTCAAGATAATTGCGCCTTGTGATTCAATTTTTAGCTCCTCTAAACCCATATTATTGTATGGTATTTATAATAGTAGGGGACATGAATTTTTAGTTTTTTTTTTTTTGAAAAATTTCCTTTTAAGTACATTTTGGTAATTTCTTTCGCTGATAATGTCATATGTCATGATTAAGTTTTTCCACGTTCTTATTTCAGTAAAGTTTTTTTTTATAGAGTTAGAGTGACAAACGAGGACACTGTTCACCTAGTGGTAAGCGGATACTGTGTCCCATAGATATCTACATTTATCCTCGATTAAGAATTAAAATGCAGATGCGTTGTCACCCCTGAGGACTAATGTTGATAGAATGCTTCGTTTCCGTACAGTTTACATTCAGCTAGATATTTAAACGCTAAATATTTGTTTCAGAGAACACGGGAGATCTGTGACAATAAACACCTGGCCGCCGAGTTTCACTACGTCAAGCAAGTTTTGCAAGACAACAAGCTTCGAGTCCCTCGCTTACGTTACAGTGAACGAGTGAAACCGACCACAGTAAGTGTGTGCCTGTTATACTGCCATATGTTAGAGGTGCCACTGACAAGATTGTCTACAGCTTGAAGCGTGCTTCCAAAACATACTTCAAGTCTCCGAAGAAGATTAGTTAGCTTTAAAAAATTCAGGAGTGTATAAGCTTAATTGTGATTGTAGTCTCTCATACATATGACAAACAAAACGATCAGTAAAGATGTGCTATGTGTTGTTTCAACTGGGCTTTCGAATCGACGCTCCGGAAAGTGCGTCTGTGAACACGTACAAGATCACCCCCATCACTACATCAGATTTGACAACCAATTCTCACTAAAGAACACCGATTGCTTTCAAGGATATTAAAAATCATCCTATTTTCAATAAAGTATGGTTGGGTGCTACCATCTGCTTGGGATCCTATGATTAATAAAATTAAATTCCAATCCAAGCATACAACTGCTAGACCTTCATACTGCGTAGATTGGAAAAAACATTACTAATTTTAATCTGGAGGTAGCCGTGGTTAACTATGATATGGGAACGTCAAACACCTCAGCCATCCCCCCCCCCCTCCATGACCGTGGGTGCTGTAAAATGCTCGAAAGGTCAGGAATATAAAATAAGTTAATATACGTGATATAATATGTAAAAACTAGTTTTATTTTTCTTAAATTTTTCTTATATTTAAATTCCATAAGATGATAAAAAATACTAATAGATAAATCTTTTTATACGGTTAGTGAGTTGTTGGAAAAACAATATCTTTTAATTTTGGACCATTTTTTAATAATAATATTTTAATACTAAAATATATAATGTGACATGAAAATCTAAATATTGATGATTTGTGATGGTGCAAATAACAGTAAATGTTTTTGTTTTATTATGTCACTTTCTAATTTATTTTTATGTTTTTTGTTGGTTAATTATTATCAATGTTTTTTTTTGTAACTTTATTCTATATTATACTAAGTAATAAGTACTTAATATTTTTAAATTTCTATAATTTTGTTCACCAGAAATAGTTAATGTGTTGTACTATATTTTTTATTACAACTGTAAAACACACAGATTATGCAAAATAATCAAATATTTAGAATTAACCCCCTCAAGGTCGACATTTCAATTTAGAGCTTAACTTTCGTGAACATTAATTCTGAATAAACACGCACGATTAAAAAAGCACAAAAATAATTTCACAGCTAACCGTTAAATATTTCCGTTTTCCTCTTTCTATAATTCTTATTTTAGTCGTCAGAGGTGACAACGAATCTATTTAATCTATTTTCAACCGACTTCAAAAAGGAGGAGGTACTCAAAACAACTTTATTTTTATGTTCTCTATCCCATAAATTTTTTCCACGTGAATCGATTCTGATGATTTTTTATATTTAAAAGCTGGTGCTTCTCATGTGGTCCAATATAAATGATCAAGATCTAACCAGTAGTTTTTGAGTTACCTTTAATAATTCATATGTAATAGATTTCGACTACATGACATCAGTAATAATGTTCTCATCTTATTTATATTAAAGTCGAATGTACAATTTTTTTTTTAATTTTACCGCTTGTATTAAAATCTTGTAGTAGATTTCCATAGGCTATTGCAACCACATACCATTAGGTGTTTACCTTCATCTCGTTTGCCACTCTCATATAATAACAAATTAAGAACAATAAAGTTGCTAATAGTTTATAAAAGCAGAGCTTTACCTTTAAATATAATCACCTGCTCAGAATGTACTTTCATGGGCGATAACGTAA